ATGATGATGATGATGATGATGATGATGATGATGATGATGATGATGATGATGTTGTTGTTGTTGCAGGCCTGGTTCAAACACCGTGATGCTTCTTGTTGACCGACGGCTCTACAGGTAATGGGACAAACCCAATGTCTATACCTAGACCATTTGCAACACCTCTGGGTTCCTCAAGCATAGGACCTAACGTTTTGGTCAAACGAAACGTGGATGATATTTCAACGCCCCTACCATCTGCAGTGGCGCGAGAACGCTGAAAAGCCCCAGTTGAGCGGACTCGCAAAGCAAGGGAGTTAGAAGAGGTTTTACCATCCATGTCCGAGGGCTTTGTTGATGCTTTTACTTCATCAAGGAATCAAGGATTGTAAAACTGTCTGGACTCTTATCTTTTATTTCAATCACCCAGTTGTTGACTCTTTTGTTTTTTCTCATCAAAGAGTCATTCAGGGGCACCCAGAGTCTCGTTTCTGCGCAGCTGGGCGTTCCAGGTCACAGGTTGGGGTGGTGTGGCTCGTCACATCCAGTGGATGTGACAGGGGCACCTCTACTTCTTCCTCCATGGACATGGAACCCGCCTGGAAGAGATGCATCCTGTCTCATGACCGCCAGCTGGGACTGGCCCATGAAACCATGCGTTGGCGTGGTTCCAGGGGTCAATGTAGGGTTTCATATATGCCGCAGATGTCCCAGATGTCCCACACGACCCCGGGACCTTGTGTGTACATTTATATCACCGTCTCCACACGTGTTGCACCCGTCTCCACCGAAGGCGCCAGGAACTTCTCATCGGGCCAGTTGTAGATGTGCTTCGTCGCCTGGTTCGCTCGCTGACTCCGTGGGGCTCGCTGGTTCCCGGGGGACGAATGGGATCGGCACGTCGTCGTTTCCTTCGACCGGCACGTCACGGTTGCCTCTACGTCACCGAGTCGGCCACGTAGAGATGTTTCCAAAACAGCGAAGAGAAGACCCTTTCGCAGAAGACCGGTCTTCGCTTTTGTAGTGTCACAGAAACAGAAACACCGTTCAGTCGCTCGAAAAAAACAACTTCCAAAAGACTTCACCCTCTTCGTTCTGGCGCTCAGAAACGCGGCTCAGCCGAACGAACGCGGCTCTTCGCTCCGTCTCCCTATCCGGGCAAACGACCGGACTGCCACCTCCGAAGCCGCCTCTGAGGCTCCTGGCGGTGACTTCCTTGTCGCCCAGTGGCGTGCCATGCGCGTGGAAGGAGTCCTGCGTGGAAGGAGTACTGCGGAAGGTGAAACACATGGAAAGGACCAAGCAAATAATTGGACAAAACATACAACACATTCAAATGCAAGCTTTGAGGGTTGCTCGGCCTTTATTATTCTTTTTCGTGAACATCAATCCCTATCACGTAACCTAAACAACCTAACTATCCAAACATGAAATCATAAATATATGAAATCTATTGGGATTCAGCGGTCTTTAGGTCACTCTTGGGGATGTAGTTTGACTTCATGATGCCTTCTTCTCTTTTGGAATTGTTGTGGAGTCTTCTGGTCCATCTATTTTTGTGATTCGAAGAACCGGCGGGGGGGTACCGAATTCATGGTTTTTCATTCTTTTCGATTGATTAGTTGCTGGCTTAAGAACGCTCAAGAATATATCCAATGCCCACGATTGTTCCGTGCCCGAGTGTCTGGCATGATGGAAGGAACATCCATCATTCTTGACCTCTCTTTCCACTGAGTTTCATGGAATCCATTCGGTTTCACAGGCCTTCCCCTGCCTTTCTCATGCTTTCATAACGCCTATACTCCATCCAAGTTGAAGATTGCAAGCACTTCACCCACCAAATCCAAGCACTTTGCATCAGTTTCCCTCTCTGCCCCGAGCCGCTTCGATCCCCCGGGCTTTCACCCAAGCACTCTCCCATGTTCTGTCCACCGCCGCACCGCTTCAGTTGAGGTCGCTCCTCACCCCATTGCCGTCGCTCCGCTCCGCACCCCTCGTTCGACCCGGTCCGGTCCGAGTCCCCCCGACCGGGTCGAGCGACGCGGCTCGGCCGTCCGGCGGTCCGGCGGGGCTCGGCGTGGCTCGGCGGTCCTGCTTGGTCGGCGCCCCCCAGGCGATGTGCGAGTCCACCACGATCAAGGTCGGTCGATCGGACCTCCGCGGGTTTCGCGTTTCGGCCGAGCGTTGGGACAGACGGATGCCATGGGGAAGGTTCTTTGGGTGGGGGGGTGGGGGGTGGGGAGGGTTTTTGGGCGCGAGGGGTTGGAAGCTGGCAGGACATGGGGAGGGAGGGAGCGAACTCACCCGCAAAGTCGTGTAAAGCACCCGGGTGTGGCCCGGGATCTTTTGTGGCCAAGGACCCAGACTTCTACGCCTGTGAAGGTTACAAAAGGTTCCATCCTGTGCCTCAGAACCGACGCGAGAACCGAACTCTCACGAGGAAGAATCTGGTCCCGAAGCAACACATAACCCAGACACTCCATGGGACTGCCATATATGCCTACATTGACCCCTCAAACCACCCTAATGTGGGTATATATGGTATACATGGAGTGTCTGGGTAATAGGGTTTGGTTCGGGTTCGCGTATTTTCCCCTAAGGAATCTTATTTAGGGCGACGACCATGTTGAATGTCAAGGTGCACGACTGGACAACTGTGGGTGGGTATCAGTACTTCGTCGTTGGACGCGCTTGAGCGTGACTGGAGCGCGACCATCTGGTCCTTCCGAACCATGTGGTCTAACTCCTCTTCCCGTGTTGTTTCAAGGTTGTTGCTCTTTTTGGGATGACTTTGGGGGACAACTCCTCCACTTCCAAAACCCACCTTCGAGCCAGGTGAGACCTGGCGTGCGACGCAGATCTGGGGCGCCAAGTATACTCGCGTCCAAGGAACTCCCTTCTGAAGCTCAAAAACGCTCGGGTCAACGCCTAGTCGCGGGTCTTGCGTTGCGGTGCGCAGGCGGCCCACAGGGCCGCAGCCAACACGTCTTTGTTCTCGAAAGTGGAGAGACTCACATGGCAAAAAAACCATTGCACCCTTGGAAACCACAGATGCTCAGCCGTTGGAAGAACCAGTTCGTTTTGTTGCCCCGAAAGCACTCCTCGGCGCTCGGCCGGTGCCGAAACGCCGTTCCAGGGAGGACGTCAAGGTGTCACATTCAAGGTGTCAAGGCGCTGGATAGGAACAACACACCATCCAACCCCATGGAATTTACATCAGTCTGTCAGATGTATTCATCCATAGAAGTCTACCCTAAGGGCCTAGGAGCCTTCACTTTGAGCATGAAAAATATGTTTGACCCGGCGGCATAGAGTAAACATATGTAAAAAACCTTCTTAAAACCATGGTTCTTTGGGATTCAGACCATTAAAACAAAGGTTCTTCGAATCTCAGGGCATCCATCGTCTACATCCCTAGGCCGCACGTCTCCACACTTCACTTGGCCGCCCCCCCGTTCCCACCCCCCCCCCCCCCCCCCCCCCCCACCCAAACCCCGCCCACGCCCCCGCCGCTTCATCGCAACCCACACAACCTCCACGTCGTTGGCGTCGCCCACGCGGAGCACGTTCCAGCCGTAGGCGATGAAGCGCGTCGACAAGTCCTCGGACATCGCCCACCTCGGTCGCGGTGGAGGGGCGAATCCGGGATGGTTGGGGGGGGAGCACGTGTGGAGGGCGCTGGTTTAGGGGGATCAGAGGCCGGGGTAGAGGGCGCGCATGTTTTTTGCTGGGGGAAGGATGTTGAGGTGCATTTTTCCTCAAACCGATTGCAACATACATCAAGCTATACCCTTCTGAAGTGACCGGCCGGTGACCAGTGTTGTCTGTTTCTGTTGGAAAAGGGATGGCGAACTCTACCCTTCCGACGTCTAACCGCATCCTTCCAAGGTGACCGGTGGTTGTTTCTCCGATGGTTGGAATAGGTGGTTGGGGGTGTCGTGCTGTGGATGAGCGGTCGGATTCATAGGCAAAATCAACTAAAACCTAAAGGATTCCTCAATGAACATGGACGGGTTGAAGGCCTCAATCAAGAATACGTTCATCATGGTTCATCTCTTTCTCCACGTCGCTCTCTCTCTCTCTCTCTTCTTTGCAATTCGGAACACCTCGAAGGGTATTCTTAAAACAATATGTGTCTTTAACTGAAAAACTATGTTTGGACATATTGAAATTTCTCAACATGATTCATTTATATATACCTGCTAAGTCGAGAACCTACTTTTTTCCAGGTCAAGATCGTAAAACCTGGTTTTTCTTCATGATTGCAAAAAAACCTGGTTTTTTCTAAAAAACCTGGTTTTTTTGTGAAGATGGGATTTGAAGGTCTGGATGTCCAGGCCTACCCAGCAAATGATGGCTGTATCCCACTTTCAGCCCATCTTTGAAGTCTCCGGGCTCAGGCCATGGAAAGATGTTGTTGAGAAATGATCGCAACATCATGACACCACAGACTCAGACTCAAGCTGTCACCAAGAAGTCGACCTATATAAAATATGACTTGTGAGTCTGAACACGCTTACCGCCTGATGGAATGGGTGATGGCCGACTGATCCAGCCCCAAGCCAGGCACTCAGCTTTTTTTCCAAGACAGCCAGTGATCGCATCAAGTCCTGCGCAGCGGAGGCACTGTTTGGGCTGAAAGGGTTTTTGGCTCGAGTTGCAAGTTGGGTTTGAGACCCATTTTGACCCAGTTGTCCAACATGGAGGTGGGTGGACTGAGCACTGAGTGGGAGGAGTCTACGTTGACCCGTGCCCGGGTTCGTGAGCAAAGTACCTTGCTTGTGAAGGACCCCGCGAAAACATGGGTTGAGCCAACCAGGGCCAATGCTTGTGCCAACAGCTCGGTTTTGATCCCGTGCCTGCATCGCATGCGTTCGTCTCCGAACAAAAGTCTTCCTTTTCTTCCAGCTTTGCAAACGGAAATTGCAAAGTTCTTTGAGATTTGTGGCGTCGAGCCACAAGAGAGGCAGGTTTGGCGTCACGGTGTGGAGATCAAGAAGCTGCTTGGGCTAGTCAAGCGCAAAGTGAACCGGAAAGAATACACCAAGGATATGGAATTTGAAAATTGGTTTGAACTTGTTCGAAAATGTTATATGATCATGGTTTTGTTTCTAGATCACGCACGGCTGTTTTGAACATTTTCCATGTGAAGGACTCTCGCTTTCACCCACTGATGTTGGCCTTGGACCCGTCGTTGGGGGCAAGACTGCGTGACTGCGTGGGGAAACAATAGCCATGTTTCAAAGTCATATGGAACTCCACGGGCCTCTTTACAGCATATGGACTTTAGCTGACCCTGGTTAGGTGGCCATCAAAGAGCACATGCAGAACATCAGCATGAAGGGGCTGAACAAACTGCACTCCATGGAGCCTGATGTGGCTGAGGATGATTTGGGTGAGGAGTTGGACGAAGACAGCAGGCTCGATTTTGATGAGTTCAAAACTTGGCTCGATGGCAAGAACAGCACTCCCGCTCCTGGCCCGGCACCAGAATCGCCGCAGCCACCAGCACCCTCATCGACAATTCCTGGGGCGGCTGCAGCGAGTTGCCCCACAGAAGTCCGTGGGGGGCCATGCTGAGGAGAAAGCAAGTTCTTCAAGTGGTGTGGGCACAACTGGCACCGGAGTTTCAAAAGCTCTGTCTGGCCACTTGCCATATCAACAACGCAAACCTTTTTGGGTATAGTTTATTTTTTGGGGGGGTTGGCACTCTTGGGATGGCATCCATGTTGAGGTCCCCTAAGTTGTAGAAACTGTCCAGTCCAGGTGACGCCACTGCCATCGAGGAGCTCAAAAAGCGCATTGCCGAGAAGAAGCGTCTTCTTTCGCAGCAGGTGGAGACCCAGCTGCTGTTCCTTGGCTTCTCACGGCGCAAGGATTTGAACTAGTGTGTTCCAAAGAACCCTCTAAAAAACCACGGGGCCACGGAAAAACAGTAAGCCTCTGCAATCAAGTTTGATCAACCCCTATAGGCAAGTGGGCCAGAAGGAGAGCTTGGCTGCGCGTGACCCTGTTCCGCGTCTGACTCTTCCGCCTGCAGGAACGGTTTTGCAAAATGATGTTGAGAGTATGAGTGCATCGATCACAACCGTTTTTTGAATTGATAAACGCCATTTCGGTTATGACAAAAATGTTCTCACTGTGTTGGTGTCCCACATGGTCATGGTCGCAGGACACGTGCGTGATACGGACGAGACACAGCCCATGAACTCGGACACTGCGGAGTCTCAGCCGGATGACTTCTATGACCACATCCATGGCAGGAAGATACTTGCATTGCCGCCTGTTCCAAAGTTTGAGGAACCCTCCTTGGTGCCTGGGCCTTTGCACCGTTCTGAGGGCAATCCCAAGGTTGAGAAGAATGCGCCGCAGAAGCCTTCTCAGGCGTCTTTGGGATTAGTTTTGAGTGGGGATTGAACGGGGGTTGATCCGTTTTGTTTGATGTTCTCTGGGCTGTGGTTGATACAATCAACCACCGACTAAAGACTGCGCATGTTGTTGTAGGATGAATGGGCTCGCTTCACAGAGCTGGCGCCGGTGCTTACCCGCAAAGACCAATTGGAGCTGAAGAAGGGCATTCCCGAGGGCATGGCTTGCGTGTCAGGTTGATCTGGTGCACCAAACACTTCACACGGAGGGCAACTCTACGAGCAGATTGGTCATCCCTCTGATTTGATACAATGATCCTGCTTTCCAAATCCCAGGCAGCATCATTCGCCTTCAAAGCATCACCAGTGAAAATTTGCACTAGAAACGCGCTCTCAGGAACTTCAATTGAGCTTGGCGCCAAGACCAAGCCAGGCCCAAAGAAGCTGCAGTTGTCGCCAAAGATGAAGCTGTCACCATTGGCCCGGGCGACAAAGCTGAAGATGCAGGACACCCGCTACTATGAACCTCGAGGATCTCAAGAGCCAGAGTTTGAGGAAATTGGCTGACGTGGTCATGGACGTGGCCGGGGCCGCAGCCAGACCAAGCGCCAGGCTAGGAAAGGCAGTGATGCCGTGGAGGCCTCAAGCCCTGAAGAGGTGGACCATCACGACCCTGTCCGGAGAAGGCTCTTTGTAGAGGAAGGTGAGGGGGATCCCATGGCTGAGCACCCTCACCACATCCTTGATCCGCTTGTGGCCAAGATGAAGGCAAAGGAGGCGAAGGCCAAAGCCGCCAAGCCGCGTGCAAAGGCAAAGGCAAAGGCCGAAGCATCCGCAGCCTCGGGATCCACGCGGCAGAAGAGAGTCCGCAATGCTTCTGCTGAAGCAAGGCCGAAGGCTCAGGCCAAGAGGGCCAGCTCGAGACCACAGAGGGTGGATGATGCAGTCACTCAGGAACACCTGAGGGACGAAGGCATTTTGCGAGACTTTGCAGGGAGGCTGAAGTCGGAAGCTGCTGACCCTTCGGTTCCCTTGGAAGATCTGAAGGTGATGTTGGCATCTGACCTGAAATGGTTTCCTCGAACTCGAGTCATGCCCTATTGGAACAGGCCTGCCGCAGCCGTGAAGTGGGTCGCAGACGGAGATTCGAGGCAAATCGCCTACTTTCCTGAAATCGGTCAGACCGAGAAGGGCAAGGAGCTCAACAGGCGTTTGATTGTCCAGATCTTCGCTGCCCGACTGTTTGTGGCTTTGGCTTGACCAGCTTTGAAACCTTTTTTGTTTTGGTGGTCATAGGATTGGGGTTGTGGCGGTTCATAAGATTAAGTTGCAAGTGCTGACATCCCATTCAAGGCGTGCTGGGTCGATACGAATGGCATCGATGGCCAAAGGAATCCGAGCCCACTGCAGCCTTTCCATGAAGTTTTGGCCAGGATCAAGTACAATGCTTTGCTAGCTTTGGACATGGCTGTCTAGATGGCTGACGGCCGAGAAATGTTGTTCTATAGGTTACAGGCCCCATCGTTTCAGACCTTATACGTTCCACAGTCTATATACATGGTTAGGGCCGTCATGCCAAGCAAGCGTGTCGCCAGCTCATTGTGTTGAGCTCAACTTTCAAAAGTGTTTGGGGGGACAGTGCATGGGGATGTCCTCATGCGAAGTCTGTAGAGGACTGTCTAGGGGATGGAAAAGGTGTTCTGCTTGCATGCGCGGTGCGTGAGGGCCAGGTGTCGCATTTCATTTGCCTGACATGTTTGCTTTCGTTCGTAGTCCACGGGGCTGCGCCTGTTTCGTTTGCCAATGTTTGCCAACATGAAGCCTGTCTGCCTAGGTCAATGCCGTCTTTGCGGGGATGCAAAGCGCTCATGAAAGCAGGCTTCATCGAGGACAATCGTGGGCCCGGCACGCTTGATTTGAAGTTCTTGCCCATGCCTATCACTGTTTCGCGGTGCCATGACATTTTTTGCGCTGCGTAATGCTCAATTGGCTCAGAAGCTGCAGCCCTATATGCCACAGGTCAAAATCAGCGATTGTATACATTGCAATTAATACGATTTGCGATGATTTGCGCTTTGATAGTTGTCGAAGTTCGGACCCGTGAGATTTCACCGGTGACCTGTTGCCATGGGGTCGTTCAACCCTCAATCCACACCAGCACTTGTGTGGAAGCTGCAAAAACTTGGAGCCCCAAAAGCAACCCAGCTTATAGTTCCGTTTGAAAGGAGCATGGGGTTTTAGGGCTGATGACACTGGGGGCTGCTGAGGCATTTGTCTTCGCTGTTCTCATGGTGATTTGGTCTCAGCGAGGCCTTGAAGAGAAAGCCAACTTGGGGAAGGACCGCGCGTGCGCACATGGCCCAGAAAATAAGGTCAGGTCAACATACCACTTGAAACAAATTGGACCAACTCATGCATATCAGCCAACTACCCACCTTCACCATCCCGAGCTGCCAACCCAGCTTCACCATCCCGAGCTGCGCATATCTCCAAGCCGCCAGGACACGACCCTGGAGTGGATAGAATTCTTTGCAGGCCGTGCGGAAGCGACTCGCATGATGCAGTATGCAGGCTACTCTGTAGCAAAGCTAGACCTCAACTATGCACACGATAAAGCTGATGCAGCTCTACGTTCAAAGAAGTTCTCAACAAGGCATACAAAAAAGTGTGTCATGGATCTTTGCTCTCCAGAGGGTTTAGCGTGGCTCGTATGCAAATTCATGCATTAGTGGTGTGATTGGAACTGTATATGAAATAAACCATACTTCTCCTGGCTGCCCAGGTTCGCCATCCTAGTACTCTTGTATGGCGACAACGATGCGGGGTTCTGGGCGCATTTTGGTATGAAGTGTTCATCCTGGACCCCGGTAAACTGTGCCACATCTTCACGCGCACCTTGCTCGTCCATAGGCAACACCGACTACCCAAGTGTGCAGCAAGGAAATCTACTTGCTTCACGGTGCCGGGGAGCTCCAACATTCAATCCATTGAGCCGATGTTTTTTATTTTGGCACGGGGGCATCGAAGAGGTTTTTGTCTGTTCAAACGTGTCTGGAACTGGCTTTCCCTGCAGGGTGGTACTGCTATGTATGCTCGTGGTTTGTCTCAATGGGACGTTCACTATAGAGCAGCCCAAGCAATCCTTCTTCGAGTTTTTTCCCAGGTGGAGGGACTTCTTGGAGAAACTTCGAGCGGCCCACGACCAAGTCGATGTTGTCGGGGATCCCAACCGTTGAGCCCAGGTGCTCTGCTTGTCGTTGGTCTTGGGTCTGGAGAAGCCTTAGATTTACAATGTTACCAGCTGGACATAGACATATCGCCCTGATGTTTGCAGGCTAACTAAAGATCAAAGCAACCCCCCTCTCGCCCTCGACGTCCGCTGGGGTTTGATTTGAGAGCTTCCCAAATAATTAGATCGTCTGTCTATATTCTGAGATGTAGCGGCTTGGATTCTTTTCAATTCCCAAGTTTTGCAATTTAGTCAATTTATGAGCCACGCCCGCGATAGGTGTCCCAAGGATCCTTGCCGCACCTTTCGTTTGGTCGCGTCCAGGTCACCAAGTGCACTTGGTACATGTTGGCATATGGGGGGCCTACACCAAAGCCCCACTATGCTCTGTCGAACAGCAAGCACATCTCGAAGCTTTGGACCGGGAAGCTGAGAGGATGGGCCAAGGCTGTTAGGGAGGACCCAACCAAAAAGTCCAAGACTGTGATCAAATACCAAGACTCCAATGGCAAACATCGTTGGAAAGGTTCAGCCAAACTTCGTCAGTCAGAGACCTGCACTTAGTTTTTGGAAGTCCCTCCTGAAAGAAGTCCTCTTGCCAACGCTGGAACTGTTATATATACCTATACCCATCCTCCCACATGTCCACGATGGTTGGTTTGGCTGCTAAGGGAATACCCACCACGATTTGGATTGGGGCTGGTGAGCATCTATCTGGACTTAGTCAATGAGAAGATTGGACCACCACCGCTTCCTGCAAGCATCCCTTCAGCTGAAGACACTTTCCAGGCAATGGTCTTCGATGACCTTTGGGCTGAGGCAGATCTACAAGCAGTCTGCCACTATTTGAGGGGTGGGACCGGCCTTGTTATCCCACCTTGGCCTTTGCTCCCCAGGAGGCTGTAAAGCCTTGAAAAGCAACCCCTGAGGGTCTGGTTAGTTGGAACGGGGTTGAAGAGTGAAGGACCTATGAGGGATCCAAGACAACTTTAGTGACTTTCAACCCGTATTTTCAAGATTTCCCGTAAAGCACCGTAATCTTCCCGTAAACCTACCCAAAAAACCCGTAAAAAAACACAGGATTTTTGAACCCGTACTGAACCCGTACATAACCCATAAAAATCCGTACAGAACCCGTAAAATTTTATGGGTTTTAAGGCCGTACTAGGCCGTAATCCATGATGAGATTCAAGATGGTTCTTGTTAGGTTTCAACCTCATTTTTCCAATGTCGTCGTGAAGGAATGGGGGATCTGCTGAAGATTTGGGAGCTCAGGGTGGAAATTAAACCGCCAATTCGGAGACACCTCATTGATTACAATGAGGATTTGGTGCGCAAAAGGAAAACAGTTGTGAGTTTCAACCGCTGGACAACGGAAAAGCCCTTTGGCATGACCCTTTCTAAAGGCACAAACGTTTTTTTGGTTCAACTTTGCAGCGTTGGGCTTGGAGAGGGTCAAAACACAGGTGTCCAATTGCGGTATCCGGCATGTCGATTGCTAAATCGGACACTCTTGCTACCCTTAAGAGTGCACGCTGGAGCACGACTGAACTTTCAGACGGACTTGCTCACCTTCTGGTGGATATGCAAGGGGAGTTGCCAAACGATTTGGCATTGCTTACTGAATCTCAGCGGCGTAAGGGGTGGGTGGATGAATACTCAGAGGGTAGCCGTATATATATACCCTTTCCAATGTAAGGAGCTGGAAGGCCATTTGGCAGACCTTGAGGCGAAGCAATCTATCGCTTTGAACTTAGCATGACTGCAAAAAAAACATTTGGTGTTGGAATCTTTCTTCCAGCGGGCACCAACAAGGTCAAGGCCACCGCAGAGCTTGAGGAAGCGGAGGTTCAGGAGATCCAGGACAAAATTGATTCTCGAATGCCGGAGCAAATGATTCAGACCGTCGCTACTTTGCTATTATCATGGATATGCTAGAGGTGTGGGAGGTACCTATTTATATATATAGAGCGTCGATGAAAACAACTGAGGCTACTCCGCAGCAGGCCGCACATGTGCCTACAATTTTGATTCCTGATACTGCTGAGACTCTTCCTGAAACCGTCTCCCAGCCAAGCACGCCAGCGCCCCCAAGTCCTACCCCAACATCGGCCGGCTGTTCCGAACAGTCTGTGTTCTAGCTGCTATATAGTTTGTTTTTTTTGCTGAAAGCTTCACTCAGAACATATCCATGTTGTGATGGAGAGTGGGCGAGCTAAGTCGATGGTGACCCAAGTGGTTGAGCTCTTCAAGTCTGGACAAATGGATGCCATGACGGCCATGCAACTGTTGGGAGGCCTTGCCAGGCCTTCTGAGGTCGCACCTTCTTCGGCCGCCCCAGCTTCACCCGCCCCTGGAGTGGCTCTAGGAGGGTTGAAGCGCCCAGCGGATGGTGAAGTTACAGAGCAGCCCTCCAATGTAGCGAAGACTGAAACAAAGTAGCACTCAGTGAGTTGTAAGCTGCAAGCCTTAAGATGTCTCTTGGACTCATGCCTCTCCAAGGATGAGGCCCAGCACATGGCCAAGCTCAAAGCACGTCTTCGCAGATTGTGTGAAGAAAAGGCCCATGGTCGTTTGCAGGTGCCAAAGTGGTTGCATGATGCATGGATGACTGGGGACAAGGCAAAGCTTGCCAAACAGTTGGAATCATGTGACTTCGATAAGGACATGGTTGGGGGGAAGTGGTCGGTGACCCCCAACCAATCGATGGCGAGTTGGAGTTGGGGAAAACGCAAATCCAATCCCACAACGTCCTAAAGAACATGACAGGTTATCCCCATGTTCCCGTGTACAATGGGTATGGGGTCGAGGTGGTCCTTGATTGATGTTCATCGCACCCTTCTTCTGTTTGGCAGGCCGACCAGTTTCTCAGCATGTCTGAAATGAATCTCTCGCAGACCCCTGTCTGAAATGCAGGACACGTTCATCCGGACTGTTGAGAAGACCCACGGCGTCAAGGATTCCAAGAAATGTAAGATTGACGAAGGTTGGTATTCCCGCGATGAGATGCTGAAGGTTCTTCAGTGGCCACAGACTCTTGACCCACATCCGTTTCCATGTTCTATAGTTAAAAAAAACGAACCACTCCAAAGAGCCGCTCCCATAACTGCCCCCAAAACGGAGCCGTGCCAGAGCCCAGGAAGAAGGTGGACGGAGCCATCCGCGTTTGCCGTGCTGACCCTTCTTTGTGTCGGTTCTATGCTTGAACATGAAATATTGAAAGTGACCATTGATAACCATTGCATGCAGCCAACTGCCTGCCATCCCAGGCAAAACAAATATGGAGGTGAAGAAGAGTTTTGGGTCAGTGTCCGTGAAACCGGAAGCCGTGAAGAGGAAGAGTACGAGGAGAAGAAGAGGATCCATCGGGGTGAGGACTCTTCTTTCGATTCTATTTATTGTTTGATCATTGAAGCCACTCTTCCCGACTTTTCCAGAAAAAAAAGGATTGCAAAGTGTAGAGCCATGAATTTATGTTCTTCAGGACACGGAAACGGCAGAAATCGACCCAAACCGGCGACACATCTCTGAGATGGACTGTCGGATGAATGCTGCTGTGGCTGCCCCGACCGTCGACGCTGCGCAGGCAAGCCAAGTGACCAGCTCGTGAGTGCATAGTCTCCATCCCAGCTCCACTCACCTTTGCCAGGGAAATCGTGGGAGGGAGACCTTCAAGAAGTTCAATGACTCTGTCCTTCAGAAGAGCGCCAAGATCCGTCAGTTGATTTCCGATCTCAAACGCAACTACGATGACCCATTGGCTTCAAAGCCATTCCCTCAAACCTGAAGCACCTTGTGAGAGAAAAAACACGCTATAGGAAACTGTCGATGTTTATTTAACATCAACGTCCAAACGTCAGCGGCCAGACGGCCTGAGGTCGATCGCCACATTGGAGAAGGACCTGGAAACCTTGGACGGTGTGTACACAAAGTGCAGTCAGGTGTGGGCAGAAGGGGAGCAATCCGAATGGAACCGAGAGCAGCCCGACAGAATTCCAAGTTGTTTTGTTTTATATGTCTTATAACGCAAGAGTTCTCAACTGAACCACGTGATAAGACTGCTCTTTCAGCTATCCCAGGTCTGTGACCAAAGCTGAGAAAACTATGAAGTCTTCTACTTTTGAGCCCCCTGGCTTGCAGAAAGAGTTGATGAACAAATCTCTATCGTGACTGTAAATCTTTCGCACTGTTTCGACTCAATGTTCAACCAGGTGCACGCAAGTTTCCCAGAATGAGGCCAAGGTGCGGTCTGGTACTCAGCGGATGGACAACATCTTCCTGCGGCAGTTGATCAGCTCACGTATATACATATATACAACTGTAAACCCATTTCTGCCAACTCCATGGTTGGACTCAGGAGTGCCAAGCGCCACTTCACTAAAGTGAAGAAGGAGGGCGATGATTAGGTGATTGCGATCCTTTGGTGATCCAGTTTTTGGCTGCTGTGTGCTAACACGGCTTGCGGCAATTTGATGGACCTTCTAGCTCGATCTATAGGTTTGCATCCACGGCTTTGTGCTGGGACACTCCACGGGGTACTTTGCATGCGACTGCGCCCATGATGCAACTAACTTAAAAAATATAGACCCAGGCGCAGTGAAGCAAAGATTTGGAGGACCCAGTACGCATAGATGCTACGTAGTGCAGCTCGCAATTTGGGGCTAGATGGATGTGAAAAAATGAGTCTATGGCTAGCGCTACTTATAGGTGTCTTAGTTTGCTTTCACTGACAGCACCGCTCTCATTGGCACCCTCGCCAGGTCCTGGTCCCACGGCCAAAGCCTTTGCGGCCAATGTCGGAGAAGGAGCCCGCTGCTCAGAACGGCGAGGCCGCCATGCATCTACCGATCCAATGCGACCGTGAGTATAGAATGTTGCTTGGGATTGAAACCATATACCTTCAACATACTAAAATGGGAGGTGAACATGTTTTGATGGGCTTGCTTTTTGCATGGAATCGCTATTCCACCTGTCAGACTCCCTCTCTCTCTCTCTCTCTCCCTTTCGCCAACCAAGAAGGGACCAGGGCTGGGTTTAGCGGGTCACTGCATGATTTCCAGGAAATTGCAAGGGGCTACTTTTGGCTCACTCACTCCGTCTGATGTAAAGCCATCCCAATTCAACACCTTTTTGATAATTGTGTGCATGAAGGAGGGCTGCAGTCCAGCCACTACAGCCTTGAAAAAATCGGTATACCTGTTACCTGTTTGAGTGAACTAGAACTTTCCCTGTCGTATATGCATCCTTTGTGTCACATCCTTTTGATACAAATGTTCTCCAGCAGAGCAACACAAGAAACATATCACATGACGCGTTCAACTCTGAACATAGCTTGGTTATTGCTCTTTGCCCTGTTGCCAAGGCAAGCTGCCGCTCACAGATCAGAACTGCCAGAGCAGTTGCAGAAGAGCTTGGACCAGGGAAGTCAGCTTCCGGCGGAGTTGATGCATGGGCCAAAATTTGCTTGAACAATTCTGAGAGAGATTGCTCCAAGGTCGTGTTGAAACAACGGAGTAGGCTGAATGTGCCAATGTCATACTTGCAAATTCATGGCCGGGAGCTTCCGTGGATCCGCCCAAAAGATTGGATCCAATACATCATAGACAGTGATCTTTGGCACCACTTAGCTGGGCTGGATGATGCACACCGCCACCAAGCTGGAGAGGTTTGGCGATCTTTCTGGGACAAAATTGAGGCTATGCATCCTGAGCTGGACATCTTCAATGAAGAGTTCCATTTAGACCGGGAGAACACAGCAGGGATCTACGTGCGTGGAGATGAAGGCAGGTCCTTGAAAAAATCGGCCGTGATGGTGACATCGTTGCAATCGTGCTTAGGCATCGGCTTCAGTGACAAACTACGCGGCTGCAAGCGGAAGGTTGATGGAACGATCAAGCACGAGATAAACTACAGAGGGCACACCTACACTACGCGGTTTGTCAGCTCAATCATTCCAAAGCGGTTTTACGAGTCAGATCCCGATTTCTATCACAAAGTGATGGAGTCTACCGTGCACAGCCTTTGGGATCTTTTCCGCACAGGGGTCTTTGACAAGAAAGGCAACTGCCGCAAGATTTGCGTGCTAGGGGTCAAGGGCGACTAGCCAAGGTGGGTCGCTTTCAGAGACATTTCTCCACTGGCGCAAAGAGAGGAGTGGAGCGCAATGCTCCCAAGGGCAAATGCCACCTTTGCCTAGCAGGCTGCCGTGGCTTCCCTTACGAGGATCTGGTGAACTCGAGCGCGGCCTGGAGACAGACGATCGGCATCATGCCCCCTTGGTCACAGGCGCCCTGCTTTATGAAGTTGCCTCACAACCCGGCCCATGAGGCCAGCTTCTTTCAAGCTGATTTGTGGCACACGGTGCACTTGGGCTTGGTTCCCGGAACCAACATGAATGCAAGGATGGAGGCGCTGACTCGGAGCTACCGGGCGTACTGCCGAAGTGCCCGCATGCAACCCATTGTGACCAAGTTCAAAACCACCCTGCTCAGCTTCACGGACCCCAAAGGTCCGGTAGGGGCGTGGCACAAAGGAGCATTGACCTGTAACTTGCTGAAGTGGCTGGGCGAGTGGCTTGCAGACCTTCAACCAGCACATGGTGACCTTTTGCACCATGCCCTGCAGGGAACGAATCAGCTGAACAAACTGTTCAGCTACTTGTATCGAAGCCCGTTCTTTTTGAGCAAAAAACGATTGTGACTACGTTGTTTCGTTGGGGCAAGGCTGGTTGATTGAGTACCGCCGGCTGGCAAAGGAGTCTTATGACCGAAAGCTCAACCTCTGGCCGCTTTTTCCAAAGCTTCATGGCATGGAGGAAATGATGCTGGCGCTTCAAAAGACTTCTGTGAACTCTGGCATAGGGATCAATTGCTTGGCAGTGGCATGCCAGCAGGATGAAGATTGTATTGGCAAGACAGCGCGGCTTTCCCGAAGGGTAAGCGCCCGGAGAGTAGTAATTCGTTCTTTTGAGCGGTATTTGACTCAAGCTCGTGTAGCTTGGACACGTGCTGGCCTAATTAGGTAGCTTCCTGTGCACTCACCTACCATGTTCTTGATTTAAGTGTTCTAGGGCTTAACCGCTTTTGTGGAAACCACCTAATACACGATAATGAAACTTACTTAATTGTTTCTAAAGGAAACGCTGATAACCAGGGTGAGTTTCTAGCTTTGACACCTGCGGTGCTGATGTGGCATCGATTCTCGGAGAACAAGAAGGCGGGCGGAGGCGCGCTGCGTGGCTTGGGTGGGTTTGTGGGGTGTCCACTTCCTGTCTATTGGGCTCTCACAAATCCATGAAATCAGAAACCTGGTTTTTTTTATAAAAACCAGGTTATTTTCCTGGGACCACGAAAATGCAGGAAGTTGATGCCGCAGGTATATAAATATCTCCCCGAACCAAAATTTTGGGTTTAATTACGCCTGAATATCAAAAACATCAGTTAAAAATACAAACGACATATATATGTAAATATGCGTTCAACAATTACTATACAAACATTAATATACTGTAAATAACAATATAGTATTCTTATCTTTAAATGTAAGTTTGTTACATTATTATGTTTGCATTCTTGAACTCCTTATTTCCTGAACAAAAAGAACTCAAGGCTTGGCGTCCCTGCACTCACGGATGATTGGAGTTCTTTGGGATACCCTTGTAGTATTGACGACGAGGGCAATAGATGTGTTTGGGTCACGATTGAGCAAACAAAGGATATTTTTACGGGTTCGCACTACAGCGGACGGTCGAAACAGGTGAAACAGAAAGAGACAAAGACAGACAAGAAGATCCAGAAACACACAGGTTACAATAGCACAGCCCACTAGCTGTTGTTGTTTCATCTCTCCGGGGTCCCCTTAGACCATAAAAAAGGTTCCTTTCCCATTTTTTTGCCTAGTAACTGGGGTTCTGGCTTCTATCAGGGTTCCAGGTTTTGTAAGGGGAATCAAGCAGCAGGACAACATAACTCTGCAAACTTCAGCGCCCAGCTGCATACAGCCGCAGAGCCAACCTTTTTTCCATCGCAAATATGTCTTGCGAGACCCACTCCACTCCACTCCACTCCACTCAACTCCACTCAACTCACTCCCTCACTCCCTCACTCACTCACTCCTCACTCACCCACTCACTCACTCACCCACTCACCCACGCACTCACCCACTCACTCACCCACTCACTCACTCACTCACCACCACCATCACCACCACGATCTCCACCTTTATCTAACTAACGGTTTGAGATCCCAAATGGTCTTTCTCAAAGAAAGTCCAGCATGGTCATTAAAAAATTGGTCAATGCCAAGCTCGCATGCTAAGTGTCATGCCGTCAACTCGACGTTGGTGAAACGTCAGTGGCCTTGAGCCACTGTGCGCCGGTGCAAGTGTCGAGCTGCACCTTCAGTTTCCAGTGTTGCTGCCACCTGATCTGGATCACTGTGCCTTCCGCTGTGTCGAGGCCACTGCCACTTGACTCGGTGCTACGCGGACACTGGGCAAGGTGGAGTCTTACCAGACTTAGCCAAAAGCTTCTGCCGCAGGGAGGAGTCTTCTGGGCTTACTTGGGCCAAGGTCTACAGCACTTGAAGGTAGCACAGGCGTCGCTACAAATGACCCAGTGCAAGTCACAATGATCACCAACCAGAGAGGCACTTGTTCTTGCGCCCTTCCTGACTGGGACGGGTTGCTGGCCCCTCGTCTGCATGTAGGTGCGGCGCAGTGAGGCCTGTTCTTGCTGCTGCTCAGCTGTTAGGATCGTGGCGTCTGTTCCCAGCGAATCTGCACCACTGTGCCCTGCCACTCTCCGGTCTCTGCCGTGTCCAAATTAAACGTCTGAACGTGTCCACTGCCACTGGACCCGCACAGGGCGGTGCTTGGCGTATAGCGGCTGCTTTCTCGCTGACAGGGAGGCCCCAGCGACCTGGAGGACCGTGGAGGACCGCACCGCTGCGGGCACGCGCGGTCAGGCCGGCCCAGGGGAGTTCAAAAGGGTGCATTCGACCGATGTAAAGTCACCCTCTCTGTATACGGAACCATTGCAAGCAACACCAATCCTCCAGCGCCACCCGCGCCACCCGCGCCGCGCGACTCGAATCGCGCGACACGCAACGACACGAATCGCACGGCATCTCGACAGCCCAGTCACGAGACGTTACCTTCAATGGTAATCTGGTTGTTGTCCCAAATCCAGCCTGATCGCCGTTTCGCTTCGCTGGGCGGGTCCCGATCGGGTCACTGACGATGGATCGGGTTTGGGTCGGTCGGGGTGGTGGTCCATGTCCCGTGTTGCACGGAAAAGGGCCTTCATTCTTGGGGCACCACATGTTACGACCTGGTCGTTCCCGACATGTAGAGTGTGTTCAGAACCTAACACCCATGTGTTTGCACTGGTTGGCGAGAGGAGAGCGAGCTCGTCTTGAACACGACACGAGGAGCACGAGGCGAGAGGGGTTTCTGACCACGTGCCCAAGAAAAGGAAACAAGAGCCATTCTGAAGAAGTGATACATGGTGATACAGACACTTTCTAGATACCATGAAGCTACTTTGGGTGAAAGTGAAACACGATTCCTATGAGTCTCCTTCTACGATGCCAGCATGCTACCTGCTACTTTGGGTGTGCATGTCAAACACCTTCCTAGCCAAGTCGCAGGGCTAGAGGAAGAATCACTGACATACAGCGATTTCGCGGATGGACCATGAATCACGAGTATGGCCCAAACAGAGGCGGCCAAAGCCTGTTTAAAGGATGAAAGCAAAGAACCAAAACCAACTCTCTGACAATGGATTTGCATCAAGAGCCCCGGAAAAGAAACAGGATACATACATCCTTCTCCACGAAATTCACCCCACTTCGGTCACCCTCTTTCCGCCCAAGTCACCCCCCCCGGCTCAAACAGCCACAAACAGCCCACGCATGGATCGCTGCTTTCAGCGCCGCTGCGACATCACATCCCCGTTCGACTTCCGTTTGACCATGAGAAATCCCAGACACGACCTGTCTGGGACTGCCAGGACGGACTGCGTCTCGAAACGGCCAGGGGTGGTGGTGTCTGGCGGGTCAATGTAGGTGGCAGTCCGTCCTGGCAGTCCCAGACAGGTCGTGTTTGGGAATAATGGTTGACCTGGGTCTTGCAGTGTCAAAATCCTTAGTTGATTCGGGATGACCCGCCTATTAATGGTTGTTGGAAGCCTAGGGATTCCCTCCAACCCCAATCCCATCGTCCGAGGCACAAAGATTGCTCAACTTCAGATGGCCTGTGCGGGCGGTCGAGGGGTGGCACTGGGAGGGATGCGAAAGCCACCCCGAATGGAAGTGGAGGTAGGTAGGTGGAAACCACCCTGCGGGATATATACTTTTAGAGGAAAGCGTTTTTCCCCCTATGCCCACATTGAGCCCCTTGGTCACCACCCTGGCCGTTTCTCAGCATATACATGGCGTGTTTGGGATTTGGAATCCTTTCTTTCGTATTCTGAGGGAAGCCCCGTGCGCCCACCGGCGGCTGAAGCTCCTCTGGGGAGAGGTTGGGACTCCGGTTTTCCACGCGCGAGCACCGGCAGATGGACCGCGCCGCGAGGTGAGTAGCAGGAAGCTGCGGAAAAGAGATCCACCCGTTCAAAGTGAGATGGACTGCATTTGGTAGGAGGGAAATCCTGTGAGAAATGGTACAGTATCTTTGGCTGAACCATGTGGTTCACCCCTCCTTCTGGGACGAGATGATGCTATCTGCAGAGATTCTGCACAGATCATAAAGCGTGTCTTGGGGCGACCATGGGCTCTTCTGAAAAGCCACAGATCAACATCGTGTATTTCTCCCTTTCTCCCTTTCTCCGGGTTTTAACAACTCTGTCAAAACTCCCCAAAAGCATCTCCACTCGAACTTGACAAAGGAAATCAACATACACTACCCCAGACACTCCATGGGACTGCCATATATGCCACCTACATTGACCCCCCCAGACCACCACCCCAACTGATCAGTCCTATGGCAGCCCTATTGGCGGTACTGTCTGGGAACCCAACTACGAACACTACCGTCTACTCACACATCTAATTCACCACACCTCACAAGGGGACCAAGGAAATCAACATACCAGGACCCGACAGGATCGGGGTGTCTATTTATAGCCCCTTACAGCCGTTGATTTTGGGGGTGTCCATGAACCAAATCTCTACCGGCAACTACACACACGACCGTCCTACTCACATACCAATTACAATCCACTACCGTCTACCATCTACCCTCCACTACCCTCCTACTACATCTCTACCCACACACCTCTACCCACCAATTCACCCATCCATTCAGAGAGCTTGAACAGCCTGCCTTATAATAGCGCCCATCCCCATACGTACCACGGAAATGGACACCCCTCTACCCGACCCACACCTCTCTACCATTCTCGTGGCCCACGGAAATGGGCTCCGAACGTTCAGGTCTCGACGACTCCCAAACGACGCGACACGCCGCCTGCGAGGCTCGCGGCCTCGGAGCTCAGGCCCTCCTGGGACCGACGCGTCCGGCCAGGGGTGAAAAGGACGAGGCACCTTTAAGGGATGGTGATGAGGCCATCAAACGTGGATAGTGATGAATGACATAGGATGATGAGATGGATCCGATGATAGATGACATGACGACGGGAGAGGAACCAAAAACAGGAGCAGCGAAAACAGCCCCAAAGAGGTCCCAACAGATCATGCGAAAGGCCTAGGCCAGGCCATTTCCCAATGGCTTCTTTTCAGAGATCGCTGGTGGTCTGGACATCCGATCGGAACTTCCGACCACCTCCTCTTGCAGCCATTGATGTGGTCTGCGCTTCTTGAGACGTGACGAACGGGTCCCACAAGATCCACTCGTGGGAATCCGTGCTCCCAGATGGAATCCACCTGTTTTCACTCTAGCCGTCCGAGAACACCTGGTTTTCAAGAGTTCCGTTGAGCTTTTTGCTTGGGTAGTCCAAAAATCAGTAAAAGAATGCTGGGTGAGGAATCACAGGGCGATATCTATAGTGTGGGGATGTGTGGACTATCCTTGACATGCCTAGAGACCTGGAGAGGCTATAGTGCGGGGTAGCCCGGCCCGTGCAGGGGCACCAGTGAGATCGCCAATAGGAGGGCAAAAATCGGAGGTTGCTGAGGGGATTCACTTTGTCCTATACCCTAGAAGTCCAGTTCGACGATATTTTGACCGACTGAAGTGTTCAGGAAATTCCTGAACTCGGGTCACCTAGACCATTCTTTGTATAGTCGACTTGACTCGCAGGGTATATGTTTGGCGCATTCTTTTTGTCCAGACCCAAAACACGACCTGCCTGCTACACTCCATGGGGCTGCCATATTTGCCGATCAGGCCAGGGGTGGTGAGCCGGGGGGTCAATGGGGCGGCATATATTCCATTCATGGAGTGTCTGGGTCTGGATCTTGCACCACATGCTCATGCTGGACCTCGGACACCCATTCTTGGATGATCCTGGCTTTTTGAGCTTTGCTCCTGGCAATGGCCTGAAGGAAGTTGAGCCAAGAGTTCTTGCCACCAACCACTCACCCAATGTTCACCAGTTCTAGCACCAGCAACCATGCAGCTTTCTCACACCAGCAACCGGGCTTCTCACGAACGTGTCGCTCCTGCATATCGCCATCACTGGCCAAGGCAAACACGTCGAAGCCAAACAACTTGAACTCTGGCCTTGGATCAACTCTAGTAGATCAACTCTATAGTAGCTAAAAGGCTAAAAGGCTACGAACTAGTCGCAGGGGCATTGCTACTAGTGTCAAAGGGCATGATTACTAGACTACTAGCTATAGAAGCTACGAACGTAGCAAAGGGAGCTATCTTCATCAACGGGTGGATCAAGTCCAGTGGCCCGAAGTTTTGGGACACCCAAAGAAGCCCCAACATGAACGGAATGGAGGGGGTTGTGTTTTGAACTTTGTTGCATCTACCAGCACCACCCAAGGGGTGGATATTAGATGGAAAATACATCTTCAGGGGGGGTCTATAAACCACCCTTTGGGTGGTGCTGGTAGTACTTCTTAGTTACTGTAAATGACCTTGTTACTAGTGTACGCGATGCACTTGTTACTAGGTGATCGGAGAGTCCTAGGCTATAGGTGCGGTTGGTTTTGCCCGGCCAGCTCGATAAACAGAACGGGGGATTGGGTCTTGCACAGGGCCCAGAACGAGCCCGAGAAGCGAGTGTAATCATTACCCATTGCAAACCTTTAGGACATCAGCATGTGGAAGCACTCTGTTTTGTGGCTGAAATAGGGAGTGCACATGCTGCAGGCCTATCTGTCTGGCAGGAACCCTCCCAAATTCTTCCAGTGTTGAAGGGTTCTGCCTCCTTCCATGTCCTTTGTATGCCGCAGGGTCCTCACATATTTCACGGCCATAAAGGCTAAACATCGTCTACCGGCAATGGCAAATAGAATACATGTGATTGCATGCAGCAGTCTTGAGTGGTGCCTTCCGGTCCTGAAAAAAAAGAAGCACATTGCTCTCAAGCCGGCTGGGAGCAGAAGAATGGACCCACGGAAGCTCGTGACACGAGAGGGATTTGCGGATCTTTGCTGTGTTTTGTTTCTTTTTCATACACCGAGACTTGCGGCACCCTGACACTTCATAGTATATGGCATAGTGGGACTGGCATGTATGCCGATCAGTTGGAGTGGATGATGGTCATAACGGGTCATATAATGTCAATATGCCGGTCCCAAACAGATCATGGCTGGGTATGAATCAATGGGAAAAGCCTGGAAAAGCTCTGGGAACACATCAAACCATGGATGGAAAGAGGGGAACTGTAAGAAAATCCTTCAACATCCATTCTGGCACATCGGGCGATCCTCCGGCCAAAACCGAGCGGCTTATTGAACCTCGCCCCGAGCCACTTCGAGGCAGTCGCCATGCCTGGCACATCGGACCGATGATCTCCCGCCGGGTAGCAGTGTGTCCGAACCACCTGCGGTGTGTCCGGCTACGGGAGGCCATCGTAGCGCTGGCCGAAGCAAGCTCCAAACGCGATGGGGAACCTCGATCGCTTTTTGAGGCCGGGAGGTTGGTCCAAAGGCTTTTTGGTCGATGTCCCTTTGGGAGGAGGTCTCCCTAAGCCCCCTGGTCCAAATGGGTTTGGTCTGTTTTGCCTATTTCCCTTCGGGAGGAGGTCTCCCTATATGGTCACCCTACACACCGCTACATGGTCACCGGAGTTACTTCGGTCTTCCCGGGCCGGACCAACAGCAGCTTCCACCGCAGCTCTGGAGATCGACCCAGTTCTTCGGTCGGATCCGCGAGAGGGACGTGGTCACCACGACCCTCTCCCCAGCCGAAGAAAGGGCGGGGGGGTCTCCATTTGGATTGAAGGAATACCCTGGAAACTTGGGTTTTAGAGATGAAAAGGCATACCCTGGGAGTCAAGTCGACTATCAAAAGAATGGTCTGACTAGGCGACCCGAGTTCAGGAAGATGCTTTACTTCAGTGGGGCAAAATATAGTCGAACTGGACTTCTAGGGTAATACCTCTTCCTGTGGGGTTCTGATTCACCAAGAGTTTACCCAAACGCTCCGTTCACAGCCCGACAGTGACAGCTGCCTGAAAATCTGGATTGCTGAGAAACGGCAGACCCCTCCAGAAATTCGCGTCCAGGGTCGTGTCTGGGTAGAAAACCGAACAAACTCAATCCGAAGGACCTTCTACTCGAAGTCTGCCTGGAAGGGGCGAGCCGTGAAGAAGAACACAGCGCTTTCGGGAAAGAAGGGCACGGCATCGTCCATCAGGATCGCGTGCCCTGGAGCACCACGGAGTAAACCATCAGGATCGCGTGCCCTGGTTGTCTCACAGGATCATTCTGCAAACACATTTTTTGGTTCATCTTCTTCCCCAGCTCAGATTTCGTTCCCCGCTCCCCAGAACCAAGGAACCTCGCCGCGACCCTCAGTCACGGCCCCTTTCTCCTCGGCCATCGCTCCGTTCGGCCGCACCCACTCCTCGCTCGGAGCGGACCGGCCTACGCTGGTGGCCACACCCTGCGCCAAGGGTCCAGTGGTGACCTCCACACCGGTGGTCTCACCTAGGTCGCTCGAGCGACATCGCGTCTGCACCGGTGAACGCGGTGGATGGCGGCTCCGCGTCAGACCGCTCCGCGGTGCACCGGTTAAGAGGTCGACGCCATGTCACATGTTCTTCGGACAGACCGATCCATCTGACGGACTGGCCAAATGTTCGGTGCCTTTTTTGCCTCTTTCATCGAGTAAACCCCAGGCAAGTAAAGGCAAAAGATGCATATAGTTGGAAGATCATAAGGGCAGCTTCTTAGGCTATCCTTCAGCTTTTGTGAAGATCTCGGTCTGTGGGTCCTGCTCCTGACGGAGAAAGGTACTGCTACAACACATGAGCCTTCCTGCAATGCGGTGCTTGGGCTTATGACGCGACACGGTGGTCTTACAGCCAAGAAGAGTGCTCCAACGTGTTTAGCGCCTGACTAGCAAGGGTGTGGCAGCAAAAACACTCTCAACAAAAGAAGCTTGGTTGCCTTGACATTTGTCAAAAAAAGTCAGGACCCCCGATTGAAGACTGGTGGAAAAGGAGAAGTAGATGAACCCCCTTGGTTCTGCAATGTGTTCAATCCTTTTGTTAGATCACATGTCACACGTCTGAAACTGCAGGGCCCCCTGACAGGAGGTCTGTCCTCTTAATTCTTTCATCTTCTTTCGCTCTTCCACCAAAGGACATGCCATTTTTCAGTGTGTTCTGAGTTCCTGATAGATTCACGGAGCTCAATCCACCAAACCACCACACCACACCACATCCTTCCCACATTGCACAAACATCGCCAAACCGTCAACTTCATTTGCTTCCCGCATGTCATATGTCATATTTTGGTACATTGACATGTACCCCTCAATTAAACGATCCTAAGTCAGTGTTGACCTGCTTCGCCCACCAGGCGAACCGAGCTTCTCCATGCCACTTCCTCCCCCCACCAAACCAAACGATGTCTTCCGCCGTTCGCCGTGCGACGCGGTTCCGGCGCTTCGGCCCTTCCTCGGCCCTTCACGGCACTCGGCGTCCCCGGCCGAACTCCGGATGCCCTGGGCATTTCGAGCTGAACTGCCGAAACTCCTGGCGGGTCCGTTCCGGGTCCCGTTTCCGGGGTCCGTCTCCGTGAGACGCGTTCCGTGGCGAGTTGTGGATCCGCGTGGTGGAAAGCGGGTGGACGTGGTGGTTTTGGGGGGGAGGTGACAGATTATAAAGGCGCCCAAGAGAAAAAGGGTTCAGGTTCTGGGTAGAGAGAGAGAGATGACAGGACCTTCGATGTTCGGAGAAAAATGCCCAGATTGACTCAATGCGGATCTGTTCCATCTTCTTTCAACCTTCAGGTCCGGTTCTCTTAATGGAGAATCTGTTCGGAGTTCCCAGGCCTCGTTCGCTCAGTTTTATGAGATCAGAAACCCTCGTTTTCCGGTTCCTCACCGCCGTCGTGGGGGGGGATGGGGGATCCTGGAAGAGGGGCGAATGACTTCCGTCGCTCCTTCCAAGCGGTCAACTCGGCGGCAAAGCCTAAACTGATTCACCGACTCATGAACTACCTCACCTGCCAGTGGACAAAAACATGAATCCACCCTATATAGGCCCTATATCCCAAACACGACCCATGGGACTGCCATATATGCCACCCCATTGACCCCCCGGTCACCCCTGGCCTGATCGGCATCTATGGCAGCCCCAGACAGGTCGTGCCTGGGAACATGCTTGAGGTCTTACTTACTTCGAGGCTCGTCCAGACTCCGAACCCTCCAAAAGCAGCGCCCCGCAACCATGCGTTCATCGCTCAGGCCTTGATATCCTCCAATGACACGGCCAGTTGCCCTGTGACCTGCCATGAGTCATATCCGGGAGGTCCCTACATCAACAGTCCACCACTCAGTCCACTCAGTCCACCCTGAGCTGAGCTGACTGAGGGGCGGCATGCCACCTAATGGCTTCGTCCAAAACGGTGCCTGCCCTCTTCTATGACTCCAAACAAAGCAATTCCATCAGGTGAACTATCCTGACCCCTGAGCCGGCAACATCCCCCCAAACAACCTATATAATCTTTCCACCGAAGAAGGCCGAAGCGCGAGGACGGGGAGGACGCCGAGGACGCCGGGTCTCGCGAAAACGGCGGGTCTCTGCGGCCCTCGCGAGTTCGGACTTGGCTGGGCCCCTCTTCGTCCCATCCGTGGAGCTGGATGCCACAGAGAGGTTGAGAGACCTGAACTAAGACCCTGTAGGCCCTGGTCTGTGGTATATCTGGGATGGGCGCAGGAAACAACCTCTCTTGGTGGTTCGTGGGACGTCCCACGTCCCCCCCCCCCCCCTCTTCGACCCTTCCGAACCATGGCTTCGAACAACGGGCGATGAACCGAACGGAGGTCCCACGACTGCGGCATGAGGGCAGAGGCCAGGGACATGAACACCAGGGACCACAAGCTATGAAGCGCTCAAGACGAAGAATCTGTCCAAACAAGCTATACCAGGACACCCTAAGGGGTGTCTATTGATAGCCCCTTAGAGGTTAAGGGGTGTCCATTAACCACCCCTTGTGGGTCCTAGTATATGAAGGGCAATAGCTTGGAGTCTGTTTCTTCGAGTACCAAGGATCTCGAGGGGTGGATGACCATGCCGTTCTTGGGAAACCAGGTAGGTCATCGGTGAACCGTTGATCTACCCATCCCAAACACGACCTGTCTGGGACTGCCAGGACGGACTGCCGAGAAACGGCCAGGGGTGGTGACCGGGGGGTCAATGGGGTGGCAGTCCTATGGCAGTCCCATGGAGTGTTTGGGCATGTTTTGCTCTTCTCTTCACCATTCTTCACCACTTCTCTGCTCATCTCTGCCTCCAGCGTTGATCTTTCTTTCAGCTGTCCGCCACGGTGCTTCTTCGAGGCCCTCCAACCCCAACGCAGCGACGCCGCTTCGCGTCTGGGCCGGACGAAGCGTCCGCCGCTCGAGCTAGGTCGAGCTAGGTCTGGTCTGCAGCGCTTGCTGTTTCAATCCCTTCAGGCGAGTCGAAGTGGGTCACCATCTCAGCATGGGGCCGCACTTTTTCACTCTGCCCAGAGGATTCATGTACAGTAAACTGTACCCACCACCCAAAACCATCAAATGTAGGCGATATTTGCTTAACATAGATTAGATCGTCTGGGGGCTCAGCTTGGTCCTCTGTGGTTGATCGATGGATGTTCTTCTGGCCTCTGCCGTCACTCGTCACTCCTGGATATCTTCGACATGCCTCAACGGTGGAACTTCGACTCGCACTCCTGTTGCTCCATGTCCATGCCTGGCGGTACCTATCGTCATTCACAGATGCTCAGCATCTGCATGAAGTTGGTGATGAATGAATTGCAACCGTTGCCTCATTTGAAGGCAAAAAGGTCACTATAGTTTGTTTTGGATCTTGGATGAATCTTGATGCATTTGTGGAGGTCTTTTCCTGCTTTTGGGGCTTTGACGGCTTACGTATGCATGCGCTGTTTGCTGCGTTGCTGTCTGCGTTTGGATCTTGGCTTTGCTGCGCCGGATGTTTGGGGGACCATCTTTCACGCTCCGAACATCGATGTGCTTCTCCCGGAAATACTGCAATGTGTGTGTTCTTCACCTCAAAACAACGGTTCGGGTTCGGGTTCGGTGAACACATCCCTGACGAACTGTTTCTTTTCTTCGTCGCCTGGCGACGTCTGTGCCTAGTTTATCACATACGGAAGACTTATTATTATTACACTTGTGGGGTTCTCCGGTCCAACTGTTCAAAGAAGCCACAGGTGCATGCATCCACAGATGCGACTGGAGGGTGAAGCATCACCCGCAGTTGTGTCGCCAGGACGGTCGCGACTCGCGTCGTGTGCCTCGTCGGAGTTGGACACCTGCGGTGTGGGCCGTGTGCGGTGTGGGCCACGGAGACCACCGGAGCTTCCACACACTCCCAGGTGTGGCCAGGTCAGGGGGTAGTACGATATAAGGACCAAACAGGGCGAGGCTTGGGGAGTTCAAAACTACCCCAAGAGGGACAGAAGACTTTTGTTGGCTAGGACACCTCACTCCAGTACACAGGGGGAAGGTCAGAGGTGTTTTTTTCTCCCAAACACGACCTGGGTGTCTGGGTCTATCATATTGGCCGAGAAACGGCTGACCGGGGTGATGACCGGGGGTGAATGTATAGGCATATATGTCCCATGGAGTGTCTGGGAAAGGGTCTTAGGATGTCTTAGGTTTTGAATGGACTTGAGATGTTTTTGAGACTTTCCAGGGGTTTCCCAGGGGCCCTCAAAGCGCCCCCCTAAGCCTTAGGGCAGGGTATCGGCATCATGGGAATTTCTGGGAGGTGTCTCTTTCCTGACAGCAACGAACGAGCCAGACACTTCTTTTAAAATACCGAGTGACACGAAAAAACGGAGGAAGGCAACATGTCATGTGAAGGATATGGTGAATTGAGTGTCCAGCCACGACATGGGCTTCTTAATGAGCAATTGAACAATGATGAACCGATGAACCATGCCAGATTAAGCTTTGGGGTGTCATCTTCTGATCAGATGCAATCGAAGGTGGGCCCCAAATGGTCCCAATAGACTTGTTCAAAAAAACTATTTGGACCTCGTTGGACATCGTTCCTCTCGCGGCCGCCCAAGATAGCAACCAATGAGAGAAATCCTTTCACCGTCCACCTTTGCAGCGGAGTTGTTGAGACATTTTCCGAATTTTCCCTTTGTCCTTTTCTGCATGGATGATATCCTCTTCAGACTCAGGAGGCGCTTTCAAAGAACTCTCTTCTTCAAGCTCTGCGGAGAGCTCGTGGCGGCCGGGTGACGGGTGCCTCCTTGACACCCGCCAAGTGGAGAAGTCCATAGAGAAGCATCGAAGCGTGGCCTCGCCAACGGCCGAAACGCATCGCGAGGCTGTTTCAGCTTCGTCTTACCTTCATAATGTTATTTTTTTCTTTTCGGACGGATCATGACGGATCGATGGACGCCGTCCAAAACGATGGCATCCAATTTCCAGGACATGTTCCACCCAGACCGGCGACGTCCGGACCCTCCTAAGCAGTGTCGGGAATCGGACCCCGGATGACCCCGAACTGGGTCCCGGGGTCCGGACCTTCGAAGCCAATCCCTAGGGTTTGGTTCGGGACCAACAAGGGCGTCGGGGTCGCGTCTGGGCAGTCCAACTTCTCTTCTCCGGGTTGGCTCACGACACGTGTGCTGCGACAGCTTCGTTCTCCGGACTTCGTTGCGGGTCCAGGGCGCCCATGGAGAGGACGAAGCGATCGCGGTTCATCCAGTGCGGTGCTTCCGGATCGAAGCTCAGAATCCTGGGCGCGGCGCGGAATCCACGCTGCGGAGCCAAGGAAGGAACCGATTTCATCATATTTCATCCGATTTCGAAAGGTGGCATTTCTAGGCTGGCTAATGCTAGCTATATAGGTATACTGTAACTAGGGTCCTTTTCAGGTCTCTCAACCTCTCTTAGAAGGAAGGCATCCCCTAAGGGTCCAGGACCATCCTGAGGATGTCCTTTGGCCCCAAAGACCATTCTCAGGAAATACGTACTCACCTCCGGGCCATGACCGATCAACGGATGGTTCCTGGACCCTGGACGCCTGGACGCATCAGGACTTCAGAACTCGAACAAGACCGAAGGTCCGGAGACCCTGGGAGGTCAAGACACACCGTACCGCGGGGCGGTACCATCGTGTACGAGGAAGGGCCACACCAACGACTTCCGCCGCAAGCCGACCCGACCGAGAGCGGCGGACGAAAACGAAGCCCCACAAACTCATTCGACTCACAACCTGATGCTTCTAATTTCTCATGCAAGATCATTCCAACATATTCCAACTATATCCAAAGATTTCTGCCGAACTTGGCTATCTTGGCTGAAGCTGAATCAATGAAAAGGCCACGATTTGCGGCACAGTTGGAAGATCTAGGTCTCATTTCCGGCATTCGGATTTCGGAGACGTCATGGTCCTCCCACATTGGAGGGTGTGGAAACCCACCGTTTTGGAAGACCATGATGATTCATGATGAATTCCTAGGGGTGTGTCTGACCCGGCACACCTTTTCAACCCCTCCCCCTGGCCCCACGCACGTCCCTCGCTTTCGCTTTCGCGTCCCTCCACCCCGGCCTGGCCCACAAGGCATAGGCCACCGGAGCCATCGCCATGGGTGTTCCCGGGTGCCCCGAGTTGGCCTGGAGCTCGGAGTAGGTTGGCTTATGTTCCATGTCCGCCTGGTAGTGATTCTGCCCCCCACTGCTCCCTCCCCCAAAAAAGAAGAAACACATGCACTCAACTGCCTTAGAATCATCCGCTGGCTTCGTGGATCTTCGTGGACATCACGCAGCGACCCCTTCGACATCACGCGACGCGGCGACGCGACGCGGCGACGCATCGGGGGTCACCGGACTTCAGCTCCGAGCGCCTGCTGCACGGCGTCCATCGCCAAGCTCCGCAGGCAGTTGATGACCAACTCATCGCCCTTGCGCACCGCCTCGCAGGCGCAATCAACAGAGGTGGGTCAGGACCTGAACGTTCGACTATGCCAGTTCGGTACCCCAGGTGACAGGTCCTATTTACGGTCACTGGCTACCTACCTCTCTTGGAAGGGGCGTTCTCGCGGAGGAGGAGGTTCTCCCGCGTCCCCGGGTGGAGGGGTCTCCGTTTTGAGGGACCGGTCGGGCGGTCGTTCGGGGGTCGCGTTTGTGGCTGGTTCCACCAAACCCGCGGTGATGGTCCGGACCCACGAGAAGGGCTCCAGAGGATTCGGGGTCCGACCGGGGTCGGGGGCGGAACGGGGGTGGCGGTGTGGCCTCGTCCTGCGACTTGCGCTCCTTGTGTCCGCCAAAGATCAGGTCCTGGGAGGCTTTCGAGCAGAGAGCAGCGCGCTTGCGCTGCTAGCTGGTGGCGTTTGGGAAGCCAGGGCAGTATAGTCTTTCCTTGTTTCCAGGTCTAGGAAGCTTCATAGGCTTCATGGGGGTCCAGAACTATCATCTAAAGAAGGTATATTATAGCTGTTGGCGCTTTGCTCTTAATCCACGGAGGATGTGTCTTCTCGAAACCTCCTGGAGCCGACTCTGGGGGTAAGGGATCAAAAAAAATAAGAAAAGAATCAAAAAACAAATATTCAACGGGGATCAATAAAAAAATAAAAAGGGAATCAAAAAAATATTCTAGCCCACTGAGGATGGTTGGGGTAGTAGTAGTAGTAGTAGTAGTAGTAGTAGCAGTAGCAGTAGCAGTAGCAGTAGCAGTAGCAGCAGCAGCAGCAGCAGCAGCAGCAGCACCAGCGTAGCAGTAGCAGTAGCAGCAGCAGCACAGGACCAGAGGACCAGGAGACCGGAGGACTAGGGGACCAGTGGACTGAAGGACCAAGGGACCAGGGGACCAAAGGACCAGTGGACCAGAGGACCAATGGACCAAGGGACGACATTACCAGAGGACCCGCAGACCACAAGGCCAGGAGAGCAGCAGAAGAGGCCTATCAAGGAATATTTATTTTTTGATCCTGTTTTTATTTTATTTTTTGATGCTCTTTTTATTTTTTTTTGATACCTATGCCCGACTCTGGTCCGTTTCCTCTGCGTTTCCTCATGAGCCCTGGAACTTGCATCCGCTTGGAACACTCCCTGGAACTTCTGGAAGTGGACCACTCTGTTCGTCTGTTCGTAGATGGCATGACCAGCTGGCTCAGTAACGGGGACCATGCCATCCACGGCGCCGGGGAACACAAGCAGCTGAGTGTTTCTGGCCTCTTCGTTTCTTCAATGTACCGCCTCCCGCCTCGATGGTTAGCGTCTTGGCCTCCATCGTCCGCTGATCATAGGCACCTCAGGACGGGAAACCATGCGATGTTCAACACCAAGCGGGAGTGAGTTGGTGCTTTGGGTTTTGGGATACCAGGAGCTTCTGACTCCGGGCCGGCGGCTGGGTTTGGGGATACTAACGTCGCCTCAGCATGCCCCAAAGGAAGAGCAGCGCACCACCTGGTGGAATGAGAGGTGGTACCAGGTAGCCTTCGGCATGGAGTTGACAGGTCACTCCCTGATTTCTTTCCCCCGTGCTCGGTACTCCCCGTGCTCGGACGACTCTCGCTTGGGAGAAGACCGTTGGGCCCATGGGGATCACCATTTGCGACGTCGGGAGACTGGGGAGACCTCATGGTCATCAGTGAATATGCAGAGACCTGACTTCCTCCCTCCCCTGGGTCTGCCCTGAAATACAGCATTTCCGGAGTGGAGTAAGGGGCGTAACGGGATAGGATAGACCCAAGCATAGGGTCTTGTTGGATGGTTTACTTCGTCCCATCCAAGACCCCCCCGTGGAGTCATGACTCCTGGATCACATGGAAGGCGAGGATGAGATGGATGGGGGACAACTCCTGGAGATTTACTTATCATGCATACTGCATACTCGTTTTAGTGGCTTTCCCTTTCCTCCAAAACATTTGATTATGAATATCTTGGCCACATAATAAAGAATCACATACCTAGCACTTCCTGTCTGGGTGCCCTCTCTAAAAGACCTGCAAGTAGGGCAGGGTAGTTGAACGCCAGGACACTCAGACAGGATGATCCTGGGTGTCAAGAAATGCATGATATGGAGGGGGTGGCCCTTGGAGTGCAAAGCTTCTGAGATCTTCACATTCTCAACTGACCCGTCGCTGAAAACAAAAGGAAAGGAGCCGCCGCTTACACAAAACCCATAGTTCACCAGCGGAACATGCAAGGACATCCATAGTTACTCGCGGATCAACTACTCGTGTGTATTCGTACTCAGTTGTTCTGAGAGTAAACATACAAACATGGGCAATTGAACAACTCTTGCACCATTCTGCCCGTCCCCGTCGTCTGCGAATGAACAACCATGCACCACGACCAACTGCCAAATGACAAGACAATCAAGATCCACTATAAGAACTAGAACCAATCATCACACTTCAAAACACCTGAACCCAGAACCTTCTCACTGCAATCCCCAGACCTTCCACCAGGCCCCTGCCAAGACGCTGAATCCTCACCGGCCGCACCGTCCCGGATCGCTTCGGCGACCCGTCTGAAACGAGCTGCGCTCGAGCTGAACGGAGCTGCAGAACTCGCCGAAACGGTCTGCGGTCTGCGGTCGCTCCTCGACCAAGAAAAACAATACGTTTGTTGGTGGACGGGTCTGATCATATACCCAACAAAGCATCCACGGGACTGGAATCGTTACCTACATGACCCAGATACGACCTGTCTGGAACTGCCAGGACGGACTGCCGCCCCAGAAAGACCCCCGGGTCACCACCAGGCAGTCCGTCCTGGCAGCCCCAGACAGGTCGTGTCTGGGGTACATCGGTGCATGTACCGAACTGAAGAGGGCTGACTAGGCTTAGTGATCAAGGGCTTCAGTCAGGTGTTCTGCAACCAGTCAGGTCTCCTACTTAGATCTCTTAAACCTGGAGTCACATCCAATGGCCGGGTTTTTCGTCCCATCCAATGAGTGGATGATGTGAGGAGCGGGCACCGGTCCGAACCCCCGGCACCTCGAACCTGCGAGCTCTGTGACTGCGAACCTTCATCCGGACACGGGCCTGTTCCATGGAGGACTTGAAGTCTGACGAATCTCTGGGCTGTGCAGCCGTGTGCAGCCCTTTCCGCCCCCTTTCACCGTCTGTCCATTTTCTACAGCTGTCTTCTGTTCATGTTCGGAGGTCAACCAGGGGGTGCCATGACCATCGACCCAAAGTCGCCGCCCAGAACCGCGATGGGCTCCGCGACCAAGAGGGTTTCTGCTTGACGTGGTTGGAACATGGTTGACCTGGTTTTGTCGTCAAAAATCCCCAAACCCAATGTACCACGCCCAAAGCGTGGTTGTTGGATGGAAAATGCATCTTCAGGAGGCTCTATAAAACCACCCTGTGGGTGGTGCTGGTATCCTAGGGTGGTACTTGATTGTGGCCACTCCCTTCATGCGAAGTGCACTTCCCCCCTCGTTCCCTCAAAAAGTTCCTCTGAAAGTGCATACTGTTTCTTTTCCAGGCATACATACCTAATATTTATTGCCAACAGTCCTTTTCACGTGCTTTTTTGACACCATAATAGTATGTCCAGTAGTATTTTTATTAGAGTTCTGGAGTATTTTAAGTTCTATAGTGCAATTGCAGGAAATTATGTTCGTTTAACAGTGGCCTACTTGTTGTGATCATTCACAACAAGTAAATATTTCAATGAATGTTCACTCAAATATGTTTTTATAATTCAAATAACGGTGAACCATGTTATAGATGATATACTTACACGTGAAAAGGTTGAAACACCCCAAAGAGGGACGTATTATACAGTAAACAATTTAGGTAGAACAAAAAATTATAGAATTTCAAACACATGAGCAATGACATTAATTTCAAAAACAGTGATTATTGCGAACGGATGGAAAGGTGTGCCCTGGCCCCGTTCTAGCTCTTAGGTCAACATGAAGCTCGCGCGCTAAAGCTCCTTTTTTACCTGGTTGGGCACTTGAGCCAAAAGTATATGGCATGTACCTGTATAGCGACTATACTGGGACCCCATCCCTATTGACACCCCCCACATCCGTACTTCGACGGGGAAGGGAGATGAGTGGATGTAAAAACCGGAGAACGAATCACGTTCTCAAAAGTGTATTGGAGGTCAACCAGTATGTCCTATTGAATTGAATTAGCAAAAGATCTTGCATTCGCTTGAAAGTTGGATCAAACAGGCAATGGAGCTATAAGCGGAAAACGTGCACCTACCTATGGTATCATGCGATTACCAACGGTGTGAGACACAATCCTATCTCGCTCCCATGATGCCAAAACGGTCATCATGAATTACCCGCGATCCCTCAGTACTTGAAGTACCGGAAGTAGCATGTCGGTATGACCCCAATGCTCAACCATTCGTGAGTTGTCGCATGTAGTCAGCGCCGACAAAGCCAATGTAGTCCTTGATGAGCTCAACGTTCCTTGGATTTCCCGCTCGGATCTGCTCCTCGAAGGACTTCAATTTCCTTTCTTGGATATCGGATACCTCTATGCCATAGTAGCGGCATGCAACGAGGATCTCCTTCGTGACATTCTTCCTCTCCGATTTGATGGCGGGACTAATGTCGATGAATTTGTATGGAGCGGCACTTTCGTCATCTGGTTTCTGGTAGTAACTATATCGGCTCGCTCCGAAGGTCTTCTTGATCATGCGTCTGATGAAATTTGAGATGAATGCCAATTTCTCGATGATCTCATCCTGGGTCTCAGACTTTCGAGCCTTTGGATCACTCATGCTGCGCTGAGTGCTGCCGACCTCTTTGAGGTACTTGTGGCTAAGCCCGCAGCGGATTGCAGTGATCATCATCGGATGAACAACATTGGCGTGGAATTCATAGATCTGCCACGCTTCTGCTGCAAACACGTCGTCGGTCCATCTGCTCATACCTACGACCTCGGCTCTCTTGAGACGTCTTGGAAACCCAGTATCCGGATCTTTCGGTACTATTGGCCATCTATTGTGCGGAGTGTCATGCCGCTGTCCATCGTCGAACATTCGCAGTACATCTTCACGACTCTCAAAGCAGTTGATGTCGAACGTTGCGTTGGCCAAGCCCTTGATCAACTTCATCAACCTCAGATCAAATTGCTGTGTGACGGCAAAGTTGTGGTCGATGGGGATCGCAGCTTCTTGCGGCAATTCGTCAATTGCGAAGGGGAAAGGCTTCGGAAGTTCATTCCCGTATCCATCTTGAGGGACCTCCCGATACTCGGGTTCACCTTCAGCTTCGTCCGGTCGTTCCTTCAAAATGATAGGAACTTCCTCCTCTTCCTCTCCTTCGGATTCCTCGATCTCAATGACCTCTTCGGCTGTCTTGCGTGCGTTCTTGATGACTTCATCGATGTTTGCACCTGCAGCAGAAGTTGTTTCACCGGAAGAACTGGCTGGGACATCTTTCGGAGGTGATCGTTGATTGCGGTCCCTTGTCTCCTTGGGTACCACATGTGTGAGCTTCCCATTCGCGATCAAAACCGCTACGCAGTGCGGACATATCGTCAATCGCACATCGACTTCGCCAAGACAGTTAGGACACGGTCTTGAATCATAGTCTTTCATCGCTCGGCGGTACACGATCTCCTCGAAGAGTTCCTGCCACTCGGTGCTATCATATTCTGGGTAAACACCACTCTCCTCGATCATACCCAACAGCTTTGAGATTTTGGCGTCGTCCTCGGAGTAGGTATCGTCCTGAACTTCGACCGCTAAGCTCTCAAGCTTTTGAAAACGTGGAATCATGATCGGGTTTCCGTATTTGGACTCTAGAACAAGGTAGCTTCCAGGGTCGGGTTCCCCACTGAGTAACCGGATCCATTCGATCTTCTCAGGCTGTCCGGGTTCCGCATTGTCGCATTGCAACCATGCCCCTTTAACCTCATCGAAGGGAACGACGTTCTCAACCAATAGAGACCCAGTCGCTGAGATGAGAAGTCCGTACTCCTGCAGCTTCCACACCGGAATGTAGAGAACCACTGGGCGATCCCTCATTGCGACCTTACGACCCAGCCAAGGTTTACCCTTGTAGCCCTGCTCCCAGGCCCATGGCGGAAAACATGTGAAGTGGATAGAATCCCTTCCCGATGAACCGAGACCTCCCGGCACTAGCCCTCGTCGCATGATTGAAGTCAGCGCTCCGAGATTGGTAGCGTGAAATGCAGTCACCATAGATAGGGCCATGTCGTTGGTCATTCTCGACCCAATGTGGTCGATGTCGATGGTAACGTCATAACCTCCGCCGTCCGTTGAGTGTGCCGAGGTTGCTCTTACAGCCACGGGAAAGCACCATCCATCGCTATGGTGGAGTCTTCCTTTAGAGATTCCCATGTCCTTGAGTTCGTTAATCCATTCCTTCCCCATCGGGTCATCAGGCTCATTGAGTTCATCAGGGTGAACGCGGACCGCCAACATTTGGAATCTGACCCTCTTGGTCATGCGGAAACACTCATAGTTTTGGTCGAAGTACTTCTCCAAACGCGCCTTCTTGGTCACGATATCTATGTTGCCGTAGTGATAACCGTCTTCCCAAACTGCATTATCACCTAACAGGTCTTCCCATGACACCCATGCGCCTTCATCGCATTTGATTGGTGCGAGTCTTCCTCCTGTCCTGAACTGGCGTCCAATTCGATGTCTCAACTTCGCTCCCAATCGACGACTCAGGGCCTGGCTCGTTTGGCTGTATTCAGGTACTCGACAGTCTGGAGTCGGATACTTGTGGTTGCCGTAGTCGGAGTTCTTTGCAGCGAAAGTGACTCCGTTGATCGGTACTAGTTCAACTTTCCCGACCATCGTCATGGGGTCGATCGGCTTGTATCCCTTCTCCCTCCGTGTTGGTAGGGGATAGAAGTGATGACATGCCTTTGGTGTGAGGGAACTGGAGTGCACAAATGCCTTCTCGACAAATTCATACACCTCTTTCATATCCTTAGGGCCTGCTTCCACAAGCTTCCGCCCATTGTAGGAATGTGGTCCTCCTTCGACTCCATCAGCACTTTCGATCAAGGTGAATCCGTCATGGTCGAACATTGTCACGACTCTTGCTTTTAACATTTCTTTGCGCCTGAACTCGCTGTCGACCTTTCTATCTGGAGTGGGCGACGCTCTCTGCTTCTTCTTCTTAGGCTGTTCGGTTGGATGTCCTGATGGTACATCGTCGGGTGCAACCTCTCCCTTCACTCTCTTCTTCCAATCACTCAACACCGAGGTGACTGTAGGTGAGGATGAAAGGGTCTTATCGCAATTGAGAGTTGTGTGTCCCGACTCCATGCAGTGGATGCAGAATTCTGCCCGCCCGATCTTCTTCTCAAATTCGTCGATGGCATGCAGTATTGATGTCTTCGGGTCGGACATGTCCACATCTTGCTCCTCCTTCTCCTGTACACTTTCAGTCTCCATATCGACACCTTCGGCCTCGGGCTCGCCAGTGGCTCCTGTTCCCTGTTCTGGTTCTTTTCCGATTTCGAAGAAGTGGTCGATGTCGAATTCAGGAAGCGGCATAGTCCTCATGCGGACGAGAATCAGCGCCACGCTTGCCGCCTCATCAGAGTGCGGGT